CTTGGCAACATCTATAGGAGGCTAGACTCCTTCACAACCCACGCGCGCAATGCAAATGCCCCGAATACACCCGAATAGCACGTGTTTGTCGTGTCGCGAATTGCCGATAATCCAGCGCGAGTGCATTGTTTATGTTTATGTTAGGTTAATGGTTAGGGCCCAGGTAGCACAGGTTAGTGGAATGACGTCATAATGACGTCTTTTTTAGGTCATTATTGGTCAATGACGTCCTCGACTTCAGAGGGACCTAAAAATGACGTCATATTTCATGACGTCTCATTGACGTTCAATATTGGACGTCTTAATGACGTCCCTAGAAAGTCGTATATTCGACCAAATAAGAAAACTCAGTCGCTTTCTTACTTTTTCATCGTTTGTTAATTGTACGTACTAAATTTGTGTTTGTATGTACAGTTGTTTTCGTGAGGACTGATGAACAAATTTATTTTCAGCCAAATTATGCATTTTTGAGGAATCTGCTGAAAACGGTCGATTTTCATTTTCAATTTGCCATATATTTATGAGAAAAATTGAATATACATACATGGTGATCCACGTTTGAGCTATGACCATAACGACAATTATTTTAAATAGAGCACCTTATATATATTACTCAATCTTTGGAATAACCATGGAAAGCGGAATTCGAAAATGTTTAACACAATTATGTGGATTGTATAGGTAAGTGCGTCCAATAAATTAGATGCTCTCGTGAAGTAGTGGATAAATTCATTATTATCCAATATCTATCTATCTTATATATTTCTGAGAAAACAGAAGAGACTTTTATTTCTAATTCGACATTTATATGGAGGAATCATCAAATATACAGGATGATACACGTTTGTATTAGGACGTACACGACACATTTTTCAAACGGATATATAATATTATTGTATTTTCGGTTTGTATACAGGGAGTTCGTTAAATTCAGTTCTCTCGTAAAATTGGATCGCCATTAAAATATAAAGATGACGTAATTTCTCCTACACGAATCATTCTGAATGTATTGATTTCTCGATTGATTTAATATGAGATGAAGCTTGGATGAAAATAAAATTCTACGGCTTCGAGCATTATTCTCTGAAAAACAAAAATATTTTTTTAATTTTCAACAAATTTATTCGCAACTTCGCAAAAGAACTTAATTCAACGAACGCACTGTATACAAATTCATATATTTTTGCATCCAGCTTTCCATAGAGACTCCAAAAATCGAATAATTCATAGGGTGTTCCTTTGAAAAAATGGTCGCGGACGTTGTAACTCAAACTTGAATCACCCTGTATATTCAATTTTTTTTCAATAATGTTGGTAATTTAAGATAAAAATCGACCTATTTTGGGAGATTCCTCAGCAAGGAATTGTATGGTTATAAGTACATTGATTGGCTACTTTATTTACTTCACGCGAGATGACTCAATTTAACGGACACACTGTATACAAACCCTATGTGTAATATATTTTTGAATTCAGATTTTCATGAATATTTCAAAAATCGAATGTATCTTTTAAAGGTTATTTTTGTTTCCAATTGAAAAAATTGCCGCGGACGTTTTAACTCAAACGTGGATCACCCTGTATATATATTATTCTTACTTTCATATGTGGCAAATCGGAAATAAAATCGACCTGTTGCAGAGGATTTCTCAGAAATGGATAGTTTAGCTAAAAATAAGTTTATTCAGCTTACATCTCGCCGACGCTCGCTACATGATTTTAGGTACAAATACGAGTAGCTAACGATATTGTCATATAGAGATTCATAGGTAGTGGTAGTAGCGATAGCGCTAGGATTCAACAGGACTGCCCGGGAGGACCATCAACCGAGTTACCACAACTTATAGTTACAAAATAATGTCATCAAAGTTTTGTGGTGTATTATCATGTACCAATAATACCGTATATTGTATATATAAACCTCATAACTTTTTTAATTTCGTCCTTTATTGGTCATTCTGCGACGTCATTATGACGTCTAAGTATGACGTCATATGGCTGTGACATTTTGACGTCATTATAGGGTCTCTCAGACGTCATTTTCGGACGTCCACTTCGTCATTTTATGACCAAAAAATGACGTCGATTGGACGTCACTCTGCTACCTGGGGGGCTCTAAAAATTTCTGAAAAATGAGTGTTTTAAACGATTGCGAATTTGAGGAATACTTTTTGGTGAACCCATTCAGTGCTTTGTCTTTCGAAGATAAATTGATTGTGAGAAACAAACGTCCGACACCGGAATTGAATAATCTGATTGTAACAGGTAACAAACAAAATCGTTCGTTCAATTCTGATAATTATAAAAAATATATCTGGTTGACGGGATCTGAGGTAAGGAATAAGCTATTTCGTTGGTACTGCGTATTATTTTCAACAGATAAGTCATCATTTTGGGGGCGATTAGGATATAATGATTTGAAAAATTTGCCTCGCGGATTGGATAGACACTGATGCAAATCACAGGAACACATCTCTTCAAGTATTAAGTTCAGGTTAACTGGTAGACAGAATGTCATTAAGGCTATCGGGTGAGTCGTAGAGAGTTGTTTCTCACAATATAGTTCTCATATCATTCAGCCTCCTCTGTCATGAAAGTCACGAGCCGCCACTGGACCTAATATTGAGATTATGAACATCTGTACGGAATTTCAGTTTCTCATGAAGATACGGGCGGAGTTTTGTCGCATATGATAGGCTCAGAAATCCAAAGATCATCACTTTAATACTCAATAATAACACAAACTATCTTCCATACCCTTATCGGTCTCAGAAGATTGCAATTCGAATCAATGAATAAAAATTGTCAAACTAGACATTTTGTGTAAACCGCCTACTAATAAACGAAAGACTTATGAACAGATGTATTAGGACGATACATCAATTATTACAATTTCAGTTTCATGTATCCAAATGAATGATCATATTATGGCTACATGGCAAAAATGAAAGACAAATAGTTTCTTCACAAAAGTATAGCCAAATGAAAAAAACTGAGTTTCTATCTTAGTTTTCTCAATATCGTGAGTTGTTTTCGGATGATTTTTTTAAACTCAATGAAATTATTAGCAATCTTCTGGGACCGATAAGGGTATGGAAGATATTCTGAAAATATCGTCTAAGTATTGGATCTTTGGATTTTTGAGCCTATCAAGCATCGAAATGTCATCATATTCGGGTCACAGCCAATCTTATTCATGTATTTCAATAAAATGCAATTAAACAGCCAATTAATGAACAAATATCAAATTGTGATACATAATTGAATAGAAAATTCTGAGGCGAATAAGATATAGGTAGGCTACAAAAATATATTTTAAAAAAAAGTCAAGTCTAGTTCCAATCAAACAGGTGGATAAAGAAAATTGTCATGGGGTTCAAGGAAAACGCTATCATATAACCCTTGGAAATTCAAAATTTTTATCTCTTTGAATAAAAAACTACAGGCTGTTACATGACTTCTGCTGTGTGACCCGGTATATCCAATAAACTCGTTTCTCTATATATTGGCGTTTCAAAATCTACTTTGGAAATTACAATTGCTCCAGTTGGCATAAATGAATTCTCCTCCACTGACATGTCCAAGGAAATTAATCAAGAGCCCTAGAAGTACCTAGTCATTAATTTTTGATGATGAAGTGTGTACGGAAGCTATCAACTCCGTAGCTCAAACGGTTTCTAAGATAGTAGCAAAAAAACAGATTTTTTTATATTTTTTTGACGCCCTGTATCTTGTATCTTGAAAACGGAAGCCCGGAGAAAAATTTCGAAAGGGACAAATGTTTCTTTTTCCATGAGGAATGTACAGTTTTTCGTTGTGACACTTATTTGTTAACACCCTGTATAAAGGACCTAGCCCTAAGAGATATAGGTCTCTGTGACGAACATTTCACAGATCCTCTCACATCCCCTGGCCATCTAGGGGCACTTTGAGATGCACTAGAACAAATATGAAATGTTGTGTTAGAAATTTGTGTTGTGTATATATTACTTCGCTAAGAAAAATAAGACTTATTCAATATACAGTAATCTGAAAGTCGCGGGATCTATCCCCGGTAGGAGCACTTTTTGTTTCATATTCAATTCAACATAAAGATCTTTTCTACTTTCTCTATATAGATCTCTTTTTTCAACTATCTGAGTGAAAAAAAGGCGGATCTACGTTGATTCAGGTATCCACAGTCTTGGTACAAAACGTCTTGGTCAGACATTCTCAGTACGTTTTGGGGAAGTACCTACTCGTTCTATATTGGATATAGCATATTCCTCCTATCAAATGAAACAAAAGTCACTGCTTCCAATTGGTGTATGTTCGATTTTCCGGACTAACTAAATGCAGTGAGTCAAAATCACTCCGGAATCTTTTGCATGTACCTCAATATAGCATATATTCCTGCCATCAAATGAAACAAAAGTCACTATCAATTGATATATTAGGACTTAATAGATACACAAAAAAGTTGTCAAATCACTCTTGACGTACGATTCCGAATTTATCGACTTTTTGTGGACGGAATTGATGTAAAATATGATATATTTGGAATCATCCATTGTTTTACTGGCCGTACCTAACACAAAACATATCTTTAGGGTCAATCGACATTCGCACACATAGGCAATCTCTTGTTGTATACTGATATATCAATTAGTGTTCTGTTGAGTAATAGGTAGAGAGCATCTGCCCGAAAATCTAAAGGTAGCGGGATGCCTATGAAAATCTATTTTTTTTTAACTCGAGTAAAAAAGGCAGATCTACGTTGATTCAGATATTGAGCGGAATCTGGACGTACCCAGTACGTACAAAACGTCTTGGCCGGACGTTCTCAGTACGTTTTGGGGACGTACTCGCGTTCTATATGGGATATAGCATATACCTCCTATCAAAAGAAACAAAAGTCACTATACCAATTGGTATAAGTTCGCGGACTTAAATAGATCACTCCTGGATCTTTTGCATGGGCCTCAATATAGCATATTCCCGCCATCAAATGAAACAACAGTCAGTATCAATTGATATATTAGGACTTAATAGATACACAAAAGAGTTGTCAAATCATTCTTGAATCTTCTGCGTGGCTCCTAACCGACTCGGATCCTGACTCGGATAGTGCACGACCGCCGGCTTCTGCTCCGCCGCGCTGCTGCCCGCCGCCGCTGGCGCCGCGAACGGCATCTGCGGAGCGTTGAAAAAGAAGGGCGGCATGGGCGGCGGCGCAAAGATGGGCGGCACCATGAGCGAGGGCGGCGGCAGCGGGATGTGCCCCGGCTCCAAGTTGAAGAAGTTGTTGCTGAGCTCGGGCAGCGCGCCGGGCAACCCAGGCACCGGCTCGTAGCTTTCGGCGAGGTGGCCGACTGCCGGCTGCCCCGTTCTGCCCTGCGACCTGCCCCACTTGATGGTGAGTCGGCGCCCGCCTAGGATGAGCTTGTTGAAGGTCTTCTCGGCGGCCTGCTCGGCCGCGGAACGCGTGGTGTACTGCACGAAGGCGCATTGCTGCTTGGGGACGAGGCTGATGGAGCGGATCTCGCCGTATTGATAGAAGTGGTCCCTGGAGATAATAATAATAATGAATTCATTAATCTTTCTTGATCAAACATATATACTCACCGGCAAAAAACCGGTCACCAAAATATTTTTTTCTACAAGCGTGCGTGATTCATCCTATACCCGCACGCAATTTAGTTTGGGAAGTGTCATTTTCCCGCAACATTGCGGGAAATTTTTTTCCACACTAGTGCGGGAAAAACGAAGATATGATAATATGGCAAAATATAAGTGGTAGGTGATGGAATATGAGAGTTTGAGTTTGTTTGTTGCAGTATTAAGTATGTATGTTCAGAATCATTCATCAAATTGCACTATTTATTGTGAAAATTAAGAAATATTGGAAAGTCAAGTTCAACTTCTCAATTTTGCCACAGGGCGTTGAGAAGTAAAGGGGAAAAGAGTAACTTTGGGTTTTCCCTGTATAATGATCAAGTCATTAGCTTTCCACGAAAGCTAATAATCAGGCTTATATTCCAGAACATGAATCTACGATTCAATCAAAATTTCACAAAAATCGAACAAGGATTATGAAAGTTACAGGGTGATCAATTTGGGCAAATTTTTTTTGTGGCCAGTTTTTTCTGCCGGTGAGTGTAGTTGATAAGACATGTCAGGGGTAAAACAAAAAATATATATAAAACTATTAGTATAATTATTACGATAAAACACCTTTGCACATGAAATCAGTATGTATGTATGTCATACACACCCTTCTCTACTGAAAATTTTTTGTGACATCTTATAAAAAGATTACGATCTTTGATTTTCTTCAAGGATGATGGGAGATGATTGAGAAAACTTCATTATAGTGTGGACTGAGCTGATAGAGAGATGTTGAGTGTTTGAGGACACAGAATTTTTCACCGTATCTTGTAGAGTAATTATGGAAGTTTAAGAGAATTCCGATGAATTGCTTTTTGCATATAAAATGCATTGATGTAGATATATATCGACGGCAATGTTAAAATTTCATGTTGTTTAAAATGTTCCCTACAGGTTTGCTTGAAATTTAGTTTAAAAATCAATCTGATAATTCTTTTCGGAATTATAGGGAATTATCAGTATTTTGATAAATGTATAAGTGAGAAAACTTCTTCAGTTTGGACATTCTGACAATGCCATGACAATGCCATGTTCATAGTTCTAATGTTAATCAGAAAGAACTCGAACTCTTTTGAAACGAAGAGTCGTCTACTAGCTCAGTAAAACGGTAACGATTAGGATTCTCTAGTGTAAAAAATCAAGTAGTCAGTTTCTCTGCGGTTTAGTATGTTTATGGAGGTGCTGAATCTGAATCTGAAGTTTGCAAACAAAATTTCCTGAAGCGCCCCGAGATATTCACAAAAAACAGCGTAAATTCGAACTTTTTTCAGTATTGCACGTAACTCGGAAGCTATACATTTTAGCGGAAAGACCACCCTATGAAAATTTGAAGTATATGAAATTTTGTAATTGTTCTTGCTCATGAATGTATTTTGCGAAAAATAGTGTTATTCGTTGGTTCTTGTAGATGATTCATAATCTACGCATTTCTAGACAGCTAACATCACTATCTGATGTAGAGGAATCCTATCCATGTGAGTTATTGCTTTTGTCAGCGTTCAACTCGATTCTTGATTGGTCACAGTACTTAGGTATATTTACATGGTTTTTTCCTTCCGCTAACGAATAAGAAGCGGCAAGTGAAAAACATTCTACCAAGTTGATGTAAATATACCAAAGTGACAAATTAAGAATCGAGTTACACGCTGACAAAAGCCATGGTCAGGACTCCTCCACTTCAGGCAGTGTAGTTTGTTTCTTGTAGTAGCGTAGTTTATGAATTACCTAGGAGAACCGACGAAGAACACAATATTTTGCAAAATACGTCTATTTTCAATTTGCTCTAGCTCCTCACCCGTTAGTCCTACATGAGCAAGAACAATAATATATAGAAAATGTCATCTACTTCAACTTTTTATATAGTGGACTTTTCTCGCTAAAATATATATAGTTTCCGAGTTACAAGCAAAAAACTGGAAAAAGTGCGAAAAGTTGCTGTTTTTTAGCGAATATCTCGGAACGCTCAGGGAAACTTCAGATTCAGATTCAGCACCACCAAAAACATATAAAAACCGCAGAGGAAACGACTACTTGAATTTTTTCCATGTGAAAATACAATTTTATTGGACTATACATGATAATGGGACATGAGGTAGAGGTAAGTTACACTCACCATTTAAAAGACTCCAAATCTGCCAAAATGATCCAAATTATATGGGAATCAAGTTATACAACAAATTAGTTCAAAAATAGATTGAAAAAATTATTAATGCTCAAGGCAACGCCGATCTAACATAATTCAGTTATTTTTGGCTGTCATTTCATTAGTGATAAGTGAATGTTTTCTTATTTAGTAGTCATTAATTGATAATAATTATTAAGAGTGTCAGTTTTTGAATCTGTAGTTTCCCTAGATTTCTTTTTAGTGAAAAGCTGGACAGAATGTGAATGATGTTTTATGTACACCATTTACACTTTAATCTGGTAATAGGCTAGATTTGATTTGATTTCAGAGGTAACCAAAACTGGGAAGGGCACATAAAAAAATTCGACTGTGTCTTAGTCATAGTGCCAACATTTTGATATTCATGATTGGAGGAGTGAATTGTGATGGGAGAACAAGTTTTTCATTCCCAAATTCACAAAGAAGATACATGTTAATTGCTTAAGAATTTTGTGGGAAACTTATCAAATTCACATTTTTTTCAAATTTACTATGGTTTGCAATCTAGTAACATCCGAGTCAAAAAAAAAAATACGTTTAATATCGATTAATAGACGTTTGGATCTCGATGGAGTCAACATTTCTGAAAAATGTGGCTACTATCATTAGTTAATACTTTCTGACAGTATTTAACATGAAAAAAAAATCATGGCATGCAATCATGTTTGGCAAATATACCTATGTGAACATGAAATTTTTCATAACTCTCTCACTGAGAGAAATATTTATAAAATCATTTGTGAAATATGTGGATTGGATACATGAGACATGTATTGTTTAAGCAATAACAATTAGCAAAATGAAAGATCATGAGATCAAATAGAATGGAATTGTTAAAATGATTGGGAATCTGATGAGATAAGATTTCCATTTATAAAATTGAGGAAATGAATAGGAGTTATATGGAAAATGGAGAGAACAAGGATATATGAAGCAATTGAGGAACTCTGCAAAATTCAATAAACAAAATAGAAAATAGAGGTTGAAGTCAAGGAGGATATATGAAACAGAAAATAAATTAAATTCAATAAACAAAATAGAAAATAGAGGTTGAAGTCAAGGAGGATATATGAAACAGGAAATAAATTAATAAATAGGAAATAAATGGGATATATGAAGAGAAGCACTCAAATAAGAAAAATGGAATCATGAAAAATAAAACAAAAAAGAAAATTACTTGAGAGTTATTAAATATAATGTCTCAACGATATGAATGTATCTGCTAAATAATGGGATATCAGAAAAATAAAAGAAAACCAACTTCATCAACACAGAGACAAATCAAATATCTCAACAATATAAAAAACAATATCTAAATTCTTAACATTCGAATTTTCTTCATTCTAGAAGATATATTATTCAAAAATAGAGAATCAATTTGTGTTGTTACTTTTAATGCTCATATTAATGACTATGATCACTATATTGTGAAAAATGATATTCTCACCATATTATTGTGATTATCCAGGTGATTGTGGATTCCACTTTTTTCTCATTATTTCTCATAGTAACAGATCTATTCAGGTAGCATTCAGAAGTTGAAAAATAATTCATAAGATCCTATTGTGATATGAGTAGCATTCCATCAGAATTTTATATCAGCCAGTTTTTGATAGATGAAATTTGAATGCAAAGCATTGTCATGTCCTGAAGTAGGTACTTAACAAGTTTTATGAAAATTTTCAAATATACCAGATCCTATTATGACCATTAACTGTAAAATTCATAATAAAAATGTTCATGTCTCAAATAATAACTTGTGTAACAATAGGTAGAGTTGAGAATATGTGAATTTAATTTTGCAATACATTATAAATATGTACCTTATATCCTGTTCTGCCAAACTTCCCAGATTACCTAAATACAGGGTGGTAATAGTCTTGTCATCAGGAGGTGGTAGTGCAGGCATTGCTGCTGCCCTTTTGAGAAGTTTATCTGCTACTGGATCATTGACACCATAATAACGGTCTTTGATATTCTACAAAATAAAATCCTGTTGTCTTTTTGATATAATAAACAGTGTTTCTGATATCTATCTTGTGAGGACCTATGATTGAGTGATTCACACATCTCATTGTTCAAGAGTTAGAAACCCCTTGATTGGAAATGTATGTTTTCCAATAATATCTTATATGGGAAATATTTGAAGATTTTTTGTAGTTTTTGTATTCAACCAAGTATCCAACAAAATACAACTACTTACTTCTACTAACTATTACATATCTGAACTAGAGCATTATTGAAAAAAGGCAATAAATAATGAAACATATTTCAGAAAGATGTTTTTAGATTCCATTGCAAATAATGATTATTGAGAATTTTACCAAATTGATAGAAATAAAAATGTGAATAAGAAAAAAAAACTTGGTTTCTGTGGGAAATTTAAGGTGGATTTATGCCAACAAAAATTAAAACTTAAATGAATTTTAAACTTAAACCAATAATATAAAACTATGAAATGTGATGTAGGTGCTCATACAGGGAACTAAAAAATTGAAACTAAAAAAGATGGCCAACATTCAACTAAGAAATTAATTTCTTCCATAATTCACAACAGCACATGGAAATAGAATTAAACAGCTGATGAAAGGTTATTGCATGAACACCCATATATTTTGAATTCAAAATTCATTGAAATCTTGGATTCATTATAATTTAGTTGATGTTGCATGAATCCACCTTAGTGTTAGTTCAACAAGGAGATGAAATGTAAAACTATAAGGTGTTCCATTTAAAAAAAGTTTTCTGAACTGGAAATGGATTTATCAAATATTTTTCCATGGATGAAGTCAGGTGGCTCAAAATTTGCAGAAATGTATTTTTTAAGCCAATTAATTTCAAAATTGGAAAATTATATTTTGTAAGAAACCTTGTTATATCACTATGCTCCTAACTATGCCTATGACATTGAAGATACTTGAAAATCAAAAACAAACATCATCTTATGTGTTCCTGATAATTATGCCAATTTAAAATCACACAAACCTGATCTGCCAGTGGATCATCAGGATCAGTAGGTTTCTCATGCCTGTAAGGGCATTCTTCCCCTCTCCTGCATTCCCCTTTTACCCAAAAAGAACACACATGTGGCCTGTTTCTCTTGTAATATGGTGCAGTCCTTGCCAGGCGCATTAAAAGATCATTAGGTTCACTCATTTTTCCTTGAACTGCATCAGGATCAGATCTGGAAAGCTCTCTTTCCATGTTTTGTATGTAATACTCCTTATTAACATCACTCTTGGGCAAATCATCTTTCAATTTCAAGGCAGCATCTCTGACTTGAATGGGCAGACCATATTCCAAGTCTAGCAAGCAAGTCTGACACACATTTTTTAGTTTACTACATGTTTGGCAGACTTCTGTTTTCTTAAAACGCATTCTTGCACCAGGACACCATCGGAATACAGTGAAAGGGCGAGAACAAATCTTGCATTCTTTGCCATATTTTTCTTTAGTCTGAATATAAGGAAAATAATGCATGAGAAAATATAACAAACTTTTAAGGATATTGGTAGACATTTACCATTCTAATGTAAGGATTGTCACCCAAACAAGTTTGGCAGAGTACGGGAAAGTCCTAGAAATAAGAAAATGGATGGAAAATTCATATGTTATTCGGAGGGTCTCTATACATACAGCATCCTCCCAATTCTGTCTGTTGTAGGTGTTTGTAGTTTTTGAGGTAGCCATTATTACTGAGCACAGGACAAATTAGTGAGAGAAAAATGGGCAAACAACTTCAATGAAAATACTTCTTTATTATGCAAATGCCATTATCAGTTAAAAACTTCGAAGAGCAGAATTTTACCAGCACAAATAGCACAATCTCTTTCTGCACTTATCAGCAAAAAACGTTAATGTATATGTGTCAAAAATAAGGGTCAATGTCAGAAATCTGAAGTGACAACTGACAAGTGGCGAAGTGGCCAAGTAGCTGATGCCGGTTGACACGAGAGTCTCGAGATCATACCCGTGTGTTCACCGAACACGCCCATAACACGCCCGATCGTTCCCTAAGCGGTGGGGAAACGTAAACGGGCAGCAGTAACTACGTTATGAATATTGGCGCGTGCCTGAATTATTTTGGAGTCAAATTTGTCAATTTAATGTACTTCGAAACGGAACACTAGTAGTTGTGCCTTCTTGTTTTACATATATTATAGGTAGACATCAAATCAATAAACATAGTGCTCTCGCCATCGGTATTTGCTGAACTTCGCTATGGGAAAAATGTTGAATAACTATATTGGGATGAAGAATGATCTATAACAGGGTGTATCTAAATAACACCGAAATAATTCAAGGGATGATTCCTTGTGATATAATATGATGAATAAAGGTCATATAAACATGTGTCCTAAACTTGCTTCGTTTTCGAGGTACAGAGGGTTTACGTCCTAGCTGATTTCGAATCCGAAGTGATTTTTAACCTATCTTGCCTCCTAATATCATTTTCCTGAAATGTTGGTGGGTCCATGACCAGAGCAGTGTTTTTCACTGAAGATTTCACTTTGGTCATAGTTGGTATATATATCTATCGCTCCTTAAAATTGAACAGTTACGTTAGATATACACGGGTTGATATTCCATCATAGAAGTGACATGCACACTGTTTATATTTTTAAATACATCCAGTGGGATTGAATCTTATTTTATGTTGAATATTAGCGAGTGTGTTTTTTTATGTGATATATTCGTTTTGTTTATTTCAAATATATATATATTTTTAGTAGGCATACTTAGTACTTCTTTTATATAATTCTGAAATCTGATCCACCCTGTATTTGTTTCAATTAAATGGCATCAGTAGATAGTAAATAGAATGTTAGGATAGGGACACATGTTAGCCATTTTGACAAATCAATATAGGTATTGTATAGTTTCGATACAAAAAAAATCTCGATTTTTCACATTCTACGTATAGGTATACCTTTTGAGCTTGATCAACGAAATCATAGCTCAATTAGAAGAATCGAAAAATGTAATAAAATATATAAGGTGTTCCATTTTGAATAACAAAGCTGCTACTACTATACTACTATATAAAAGTACTACATAACTACTAATAATAATTTCTAGTGAAGCAGATGAATATTATCGAAAATAATTTGAATAAAAACGAGCGTCCTCGCCAACAAAACATAAGCATATAATATGTACATATATAGTTTCATAATTTTCGATGAGTAGTTCGCTATTTACATGTAGGACTCGTCGTGACATAGCCTCGGACATATCGAATTATTGTAAATCAAATCACATTATCTGATAGGTCGCAGTAGATCACTTTTTTTTTTTTTTTTTTTTTTTTATCGCTTGGAGCGCACGAGAGGGAATCCCTATAATGTTCAAAGAACATCGTGCGTTCCTAGGGAGGATAGGGATAGGAGGTAGGTATTGGAATTTTTTTTGAACTTCTGGAGATTATATGTTGTTGGGAATACTTCCTCAGGCAATGAATTCCAGAGCCCAGCCGTTCTATGCTGGATGAAGGAGTTTTGATAAAGTGCTGTTCGGCATCTTTCGAGGTTGACAACGCGAGGGATGTGCTGACTGGGCTTGTCTAGTTCGTCTGACTGGTATTGCTAGTGAAGGGATGATAGCAGAGATTTCCGAAGAACATTTCCCGTGGAAGTATCGATAGAAAAGTGAAAGGTCGCCGACCTTTCTACGGTGTTCCAATGATGTCAAAGAGCGAGTGAGTGTGGCGTCACCCACCAGGCGGATGGTTCTTCTCTGGATGGAATCTAAGAGCATCAGCGTATGTTTCGGTGCTGAACCCCATATGTGGGAACAGTATTCTAGAACAGGCCGTATCTGCGCTTTGTAGATCATGAGGAACTGTTGAGGTGTAAAGTAGCATTTCGCACGGAACAATAAGAATCCGAGTTTTTGTGAAGCAGCTTTTGCGATGGATCTGACATGATTATCCCATGAAAGATTGTTGCTGATGGAAATACCGAGCATAGATATGGTGGGCTTGGTGGGGATGGTGGTGCCAGACATTACAATGTTGGGCATACTGAGTTCCGCCTTTCTAGAGAATATACAGGCTTCAGTTTTGGTGGCGTTGAATTCAACTAGGTTGTTGGTTCCCCAGGCTGTGATTTCAGCAAGGTCTTCATTGACAGCATTGACCTGCCTGCGCCATGTGTTCTTAGTTTCCTGGGAAGAAATAGGAATTCTGGAAGAGAACGAGATGCCTATCAAATGTTTCTTATTTATTCGAAAAAAAAATGTTGAAATGTGATCAAGAAAACTGTTGGTGGCCCACCCCGTACTACAAAAACAAAGACAGCATGAGAGCAGCTGCCTGCCCACTCATTGTATCATGACTGCCTGCTTACGTCTCGCGTCTCGGTCTCCCCACCGCTTAGGTAACGATTGAGCGTGTTCGGTGAACACACGGGTATGATCTCGAGACTCTTGTGTTCCAGATGGCATGAATTCACATCCACCCTAATCGGCTAAACAGTCAGTTAACACGTCGACTGCCCAGATATATGGTGATTGTTTCACCAATGTCCACATCTGAATTTCAATTTTATAGTTTCATGTGCTAAAATTAACAATTTCAGCGGTATTTATTTCATGTTCATTGCATTTTTTTGGCAAAAAAACGAAAATGAAACAGAAGTTTCTAATCAACATAATTGAGTTCTAAAAAATATAAGCAAGCATAAAATCTACATTATTATATGTGTATTTTTCTTTTCTCATGTTCTGGTTCCTACGAAAAGGAATATCCTGTAATATTCAGAGAACATCGTGAGAAATAAGCAAAATGAGGTTCGAATTCGTGTTCTTCTGAAATTCCTGGAGGATATATGCCTCGGAGAACACCTCTCATGGCAATGTATCCCAGAGCCTCGCTGTTCGTTGGATGAACGAGTCTTTGGAAGAGATATTCTGCTGGTCTCCAAAGTGATCACGAAGGGGTGCGAAGCCTCAACACGATACTTGCGATATATAAAATGAACACGATACTACTGCCCAACTTGAAAACTATCTCAAAGTCTTCCGAAGGTGCCCTCTAACACATCAACCCAACTGGATTGCCTCCTGAGTAATTATCGTCCAAATAGACCATATTATATGTATATGGCGCATCGCCTAAATGCTAAATGATATCTCAACAAAAAAGGGACCAAAATGAGAGGTACTTTTTGAATCTATAAGGACATAAAGTGAAGGATGGAAACAGTCATATGGGTTTGTCAAGTTTCGTATTATTTTTTCCCTACGTCGGCATCGTGGTCGGCATCAACGTCTATTGGTCGATTTCGTTACCTATAGAGATAGAAGTTGGTCCCGTTTTGAGGACAGCCATGCTTCATGTAGATTATTCTTCTTTCATTCATTATTGATCTTTCCGCAGCAAGTTGTAAGCTGTCATCTGTACCCACCATTATATCGTTGGCGTCACTTTGACAACTGACAGTAGTGATACTGTGTCTGTGTGCTGTGACCACAGAACTAAAATCAGTTCTGTGGCTGTGACGGCTGTGTGACTTTTAGTTTATTGTTCTATTCTATAATTTTAAAAATTTCTAGAAAACCGACATTATTCAATTCACTACTCATATCTCTTTGATAACCCCTCAGACGAAACCCTGAGAAGAAATGTATCAAAATTTCAGTACAAAAGATGCAAGTGCAATCACTTTTGCTGATCTGAATAACATAATCGAACAGTGTACCCCTGATATACAAGAAACTATGAACCTATTTCATCTACAGTCCAAGGAGATGAACAAATTATTCTTTGATACTTGTAACTACCAGGAGAAACTTGAGTTGCTTCACAAGAGACTGATATTGTTGAGTTGTTTTCAAACAGAAATAGAAAGAAGTATTGAAATGATAAAGGTATCAGAAATGGAAGTTGAAAATGAAGTTGGGAATTTAGAAAGTGACATCTCTCACATTTGCAGTTGCAAAGGTATACAGGACACTTTCAGGTATTTAATAAAAATGTTGAAATTGTAACTACAAAGCGGATTATCACTCCTTGGGAATATCTGAACAATATCAAAACTGAAGTACAATATGCACCGGCAATATGCTCTCATTGCTCTCTATGATATATGTTGCCAATTGCCATCCTTTCATATATGTAATGATTAGATGGCCAATCTGTATACCTACCTATGCATTATCACCACATAAATTCTACAAGATGAACTAGAAAAACAATAACTGTGTTTTGACCATTTAACTGTGCTTCTATAAGAAGTATAATAATTTGAATGTTCCATGAAATCACTTTGATCTTATAATGCTTCTGATGAAGTCATAGATTTTCAATGTAGCAGAGTTTATCTGAGAGTTTCATCTTTGTCACTTTTTTTGGTTCAATCTTTTTTCTGCCTCAAATATCACAATGTACAATTAGTATAGTATAATCTTCAGTGAAACCAAGAGAGTGGATACCTATAGAAGGTAATAAAATAACCCTGCTTTGTGATCTCTTCATCAATGGGAGAAAATCAAGGAAGAAAACTTGTTTCTTGCTATATAGGTACTTTCTGATTCTTTGAATTTGGTTTTAGGAGAAACACCTATGATTTGGCTGAAACTATCAATACAAGACTGAGTAACATTCAAGAAATTCTAGATAGAATTGAGAAACCTACACATTCATTAACAGAAAACACAAGTTTTGATATCTTTACTCTTATCTTAAGAACATCCCTTAAAAAACTTGAGAACATAGAAATGAATATTTATCAGATGAGAGACAAGTTGAACCATGTTTCAGCCAATGAACAAATTGTTCTGCTATTACTTAATCTTAAAAAAAATAGATGCAATTGAGAATAATTATAACATGAATATTGATAAACATAAATGTCATATTGAAAATTATTCAAATATAATTTTCTCTTCCAATATATTCTGAAGAATGATAGATCATGATTCTCACATTAATTATTTATTAAATATTATCTGGAATAATATATCTTTTATATGTACAAATTTTAATTTAGTTCCAACACAACTCTTCAGCTGTAGGAATGAGTTTGAATACTTCAAGTAACAAATGAACTACATATCTTGGGAATGAATGCTCTCCATATTTGTTCAATATACATGAATATCACCTAACATATACAAGTTACATGGAATAAATCTATACTTCACATATAAATACCCTAGATTTTTTATCTATGAATAAATAAAGGATACCTAGTATCTATCAGATCACATCAAAAATTGATTGATATCTCATTAGATAATAAAATTATAGGGAACATTCATAGGTGTTATTTCTGCCAATCTAAAGAGGGTTATTCCTGATAGCAGGGCTATATACAATTATTTATGAGTTTGAAAACAATAATAATTCACAATATATTTTGGTTTTCTAAAATTACAAATCTACCTATTGCAATTTAGTCTACTGCAACAGCAATTTTGGTGAATCATTCAACTCAACTTTGGCTTTTCATTCAATTTGAATCTGTTGAGAAATGTATATAATCAGTCCATAAAGTTTGCAGGTTTTTTTAATGTAAAAAAACAACTGCAGTTTAATGCCATATGTTTCTATATAATGATTCCTAGAGAACTAAAATACAGCCAAAATTTCACAACCAACATTTAACAAATATATATTTTCCAGGAAGTGTTTCTTAATGAGAATAAACAAAATTTCAATGAAATTCAGAATCACATTACCTTTGATAATTTAAAGTTACAAAATTAGGATCTTTCCTAGAGATAGGACTGGTAGTTTCAGTTTTTGTTATTAAGCAGGACTTATTATTCAACATAAATTTTGATTTCATTTTATTATTATTATTATCAAACATCTCTTTATCTTGAAGTTTTCTGAGAAAAATATCTCTTGAATTATGTCAACAATATGAATACACCAGAAAATGAGAAATTCTCTGAGAAATTAGGCATTAGGAAAATGGGGCTGAAGAAAAATGCGAGGAAAATGGCTAGTGGTGTGGTAATTCATCCAAAAAAATCGAGTGGTACCTACATATTATTTGAAAAAAAAAAAGTAGATATGAAGAGGTGAATCATAATTGAGTTAGAAGATTCGAACAGATATACAAACAATAACTGAAGTCCAATAATGAAACCATTTGAAAAGAATTTGGATTGAATATGCCTGAATGTTTTGATTGTTTATTTCACCCTGAATATGCACACCAATTATCTTTGAAAATTTATATCCAATATGTTTGAGAACATTCTCAATTCTGAAATATCATGTTATTATAATACATTTTTGAGCATTCACGCCCCAAAATCATATGAGGACAGTCTGACACATACAACATCAAACTTCTAACCCTATATATCTAATGCTCTGTTACAATTAATTCATAGTTGATTGACAAAGTCTCTCAGTAATGCCAAATATGATTCAAATCATGCTGAGAAAATCTTAAGTCTAAACTCAAAATTATTATCATTTATATGTAATTTTGGGCGGAGTGAGCATAATTCATAGACATTCCCAAGAAAGCTTGCTAGTGTAATAGATAAATAAAAAGTGTTCATCCATGACAGATTGAAACTGGTTTGAATTCAATATTCGACCTAATGAGTCGATCAATGAAACTTCTATTACCAGAATGATGGTATGAAGGGAATGAAAACGCGAATTGGGAGTTGACAAATTAGATTAAAGATGAAGCATAATTGATTGCCTACTTATTATTATTGTCTGATGCACAAATAAGATAGTATACTTTTCAATTTTAATTCAGATAAAAAATTTGATTTGGATAATAATTATCAGCTTTACCATCCCATTTACTGGTTGTAAAGAGTGTGAAGTTCTGAAATTTTCTTGAATCAGCTCAAAACTCCTATCAACATATATTCTCAAATTATTAGGTATTGATGGCCATGCACTAGCCAAAGATATAAAGAATCCACAGAGGAACATTTTAGCGGGGAATGTATATTTTGTTCGAAATATTTTCAAATGGCATAATAAGATGACAAAACATTTTCCGATAATATCATTTGTTGAATGGCAGTTTTTGTCTCAAAACATTTTATCTGGAATTAAGTATGGAATAACAGTAAGAGTTTGTGTTGGAGAAATCGCTAATTGAAGAATACTTGAGTATTAATGAAATTAATTTGAACTATATATCTCTTCTAGTTGTACATGACATAGTGAGCACACCAGATACATACAATTTTCATTTCATTCTCGGAAATAAAAAATGGTTGCGCAAAATTCATTTCAAAATGTTTACTCATCAATTTTATTAATAATCCACGGTTTAATCTTCTCCAAATTTTGAAATGAGGATGCATGATTCATAAAATCATTTTGAAAGCAATAATTCATCTGAATATTATTCGACAATACAATAGTCGGTATGCCTAGTAGAACACAAGGAACCATAATTTTCAATGGTCGATAATACAGACCAAGGTTTACCATAAGCATTAGAGACCAAGATCAATGATTTTGAAGTTAAGGTCGGCCTTTCAGCGTTTCAGTGTTTAAATAGGTACTCTCAATATTATGATGAATAAAAAATAGAACCTAATAGGTATTCTCATTTTTCCCCATGTCTTTGAATGTTATTTCAAGTCTCCAAGGTGGAAAAAAATCAAGGTAAGCACCTTCCAGTGTTAGCTTACTATTATGGTGGGTTCATAGATTCAATTGAACTAACAATTAGGAATTAACAGTCAACAATTAATAATCATGAGGGTGTTTATACATCAGTTTTACGCCCATGGAATGATATTAATTAAGAATTAAATGTGAAATGTCTTTTGATCAAAGATCAAAATGATAAAAAGTGATTTTGGTCTCCACAACTCATGAATCCAGAAAAAATATTTCAATTGTATATCTCCAAACTCCACTTGAACAATAAGAAATCCAATCTTCTTGACTCCAGAATTTCCTAATTCTCAGTTGAGTTGAAAGTTGACGAACTTTGTAATTCTTAATACTTAACTTAAATGACAGATGTATGAACCCTCATAGATGTTTCCTTGTATTCAACTTTTTAAGCTCATAGTTGTCAGTTTAATTGATAGTTTAGTTGGATCTATTAACCCAGCATTAAATCCCAGTTAGCCAAAACTTGAAGCAGCTACATTCATCACTGATGCATTGAAAATATTCCATGTTTTCAGAGAAATAGCATAACTAAATATCTGCCTCAATCACAAGCACACTTGAAACTTATCACATTTGATTCAGCAGCAGGGTTGGGGTCATTGCAAATTATACATTCACATTTCGGATGAAAATATGAATGACACCTCATATTGATGATAATTTCCAACTTCGAAATTATCAGATGTCACCGACAGAACTTAAAACCTTTCACTCCATTCATCACGTCATGCAATTTGCTACATTTCCGATTTTAGACGTCGTTAATGCCGCGAATGTATTAAATGTCGCTAAGTAAATTTTGAGTGACATCCACCCAACCCTGTTCAGTTTTTGATTGATCTCTTATGTGAAGTCGCGTTTAGGACGACTCAATATTTCAATCACGTTGATGAAACACTTTCATAGCAATTAAGAATCTCTTGTGATAGAACAGATACAAGATAGTCAACTACGAAATAGTCACAATGCTCTAAGTGGAATGAAATGTTAAATAAATACGAAAAGCTCAAAGTCACTTCCACACAATGTTCATAAAATGAACAACAATGGTAGAATTCTGGAGAAAACCACTTTCCTGGATAATGCCACGCAGAACATTGAATTACATACATCCTCCCGAAATCTATTCATCGACTCGTATAAACGAAATCTACCATTGTTGCTCATTTTATGAATATTTGGTGGAAATGACTTCGAGCTTTTCGTATTTATTAAACATTTCATTCCACTTTCAGCATTGTGGCTATTTAGTAGTTGAAATTACGCCAGTCGGGCAACCAGCCATTCCTGTATGGGAATTTCAGTTTTGGAGTGATTCTTTTCTTTGTTTCTACTCAGATGGCGTTGCTTTCATACTATCTATCAAGGACCCCTCTGGGGAAATAAAATGTCGACTTGATTTTTGTTTGGCTAGGCTACGCTAAGTCGGCGGTCTTAGGAATGCTGGTTGGAGACTGCCCTGCACTGATGAGAGTCAAAGAGCTCGAAACCGGTCTGTCGGTGTCTAGCATGGCCTGGCTCAACTGAAATCAATGGGCATTCAGGAAAGAATCACTTGTATCAGTATTCGTTTATACGAGTCGATGCATAGATTTCGGGAGGATGTAATTCAATGTTCTGCGAGGCATTAGCCAGGAAAGTAGTTGTTTTTCTCCCGAAATCTACCTTTGTTGTTCATTTTATGAGCATTGTGTGGAAATGACTTTGAGCTTCTCGTATTTATTTAGATACAAGAGTGGTCAACTGGGATGCTGTCCTGAATATAGCATGCTTGCATGACAGTTGCTTGACAAATCATCTGGCTTTACCGAGGACTCGTCTTCCGACCGTCCTACTCGCTTCCCGCCCTCGCTTTTCCGCTCTGCTGCTCCACGCCGCCCCTCCCCCTCCTCCGCCGCTTCTTCCGCTTGCCCTCCTCCCTGCACAGCGTCCTGCAGACGTCGATCCACGCTTGGTCGTAGTCGGCCATGGTCGAAGCGGAGGTCGAAGCGGTCTGCAGGATGCAATCGCACACGAGTCTGGTCAGTCAGTCGACCACGATGCGCTGCGATATCCCGACCAGGGTCTCTTTGAGCACCTTGAAAGAAGGCCGGTTCTCCGGCAGGTGGGCCCAGCATTTTCTCATTACCTGAGCGAAGGACGGAGAATTTTAGTTTCAGGGTAACGCTGGGAATATGTTGGAGTGCACGAATTTGTTTTGCCCAAACATAGGCATGGCGATTCCTAATCAGAACGACCTAAAAAACGCCTGCGTTCGGGCGAGAATTTGTCTCGTCCACTTTTCGCTCAGCAGCGAAGAGGATGCAACAGGCGACAAGACTATTTTTTTTCTCAACTAGAATCATCACTCGAATACCTTTCAATTCCATATTTTTCAAGAATTTTTTCGGTCGATTTTTAGGTGCTAAAATCATTAATAATGCTACGGTAATTTTCAAACGGTTAGAAATTTACCGCCAGTAAAAACTGACGCAACGATTTCGTAAGTAGGGGCAGATCATAACACAGTTTCCATGTGTTGAAATACAATTATTGGGAACTTCAGAAATATTAGTTATTCAATAATTCATGAGTTCTCAATTGAGTGCGACATTTGAACCGGCGCACGACTTGTGGGCGTGGTCTTGTCAGTTTTCAGAAGTCGGCATAATGTTGCCAAGTCTCCAACATCCACATGGTATTTTGTTATGGAGAATAAGGAATATTTGGACATGCTGGTTGCTCGAAAAAGTCAAGAATGAACTATAATATCATGGGTTTCTCCTATTATGTTTCATCAAACGAAATTTCTTTGATAACTTGATTATAATTGGTGACTTGACAACCTTGCTTCATCAGTGGAAATGGAAGATTATCTATCCAAAAATGACATGTGTCATTTGTTTTCGGACAAATTACTGTTCAAATCCACTAAACTTTGTATTGGCTTGAAAAAATATGTTCATAAAACCAGTAGATAAACTGATAATCGAATTTACAAGAACATCGAGATTCTAACCGTGATTTGACCATTATATTTATCAATCTATTTAAATTTCTAAAGCCGCAATAAAGAATAATACTATAAGTTTCAATAGGTGACGAAAAATATTAACTGACTTCTCCAAATATAAAGACCAAAACAATTCGATGCAAGCAAACTTACCTCAGTACAAAGTTGGTTAGTTTCGGCGCTAGATGGCTCTGAAGATACAATTTTCAAACTTCGAAAAATATCATGAGAAATCACTAATGAATATCATTCCATGGGCGTAGAACTTGATTCTTTCAGTAGATAAACGTCTAAAACTTCTACGCCAATGGAAAGAAAGGGATTTGAATGTGACAATTGGATGACGTAAATTCTTTACCATGATAAAGGTACTCTAGATAACATTCGATTACTCATGGTTTTGACAAAATTTGAATTTTAGTAATTCAAAGCATCAGTCAACACTAAAACGATTAAAAGATATTATTCGAAAAAATTGTTCAAAATTTCCATTATGTCCACGTATACAAACGAAATAGGTACGTATACGATAAACATAATTGAGTACTATCAGCTATTTTTTGTTGTTTTTTTGTACTGAGTTAGCCAGAGCCGTCTAGCGCCCTGACTGAGATACTTTTTGTAATATGGTGAGTGTGCTTGTATCAATTATTTTCGTCGTATGAATATTTGCATACGTGGAAATTATAACATTTTGAACAACTTTTTTGAAATATCACTCAATAGTGGTGACTGATGCATTGAATTATTACTAAAACTCAAATTCTTTCGAAACCATGAAAAATCGAATTTTATCATGATCACCTATTTTGTAACAAGCTATGCAATCAAAATTTCATATCAAAACCCCTTCCTGTCGATTGGCGTAAAAGTGTCAGATGTTCATTTACTAAAAAATCAAGTTCTACGCCCATGGAATGATATTCATCATGATCATGATATGGGTTTTACTGCTCAATAAAGCTTCGCTAACGTACCAAAATTTTAGTGATATCTCATTAGCCGTTTCAAAGTTATGAAGCAAATACGATATGAACATTGTAACTTCAGAGACGTCTAACGCCCAAACAAAGCAAGTATCGAATTGTTTTAGTCTGAGGAATGTGTGGTTAGTTCCTGTAAAGACCTCTGTAAGGTACACCTTGTATATCAGTAGGGTAGCTATAAAATCCTACTTACATCATATACTTCTTTATAACAGGCCTTTGGTTTTTCCAAAATCAAGCCTTTTTGAACTCTCTCGACAACTTCAGCATTTTTCAACCTTCCATAAGGCATTTTGCCACAAGAAAACACTTCCCACATCAGCACACCTAGAAGAAATTTCGATTCATTCATGTCGATCGTTCCACACGGAGAAGTAAAGACTTACCATATGCCCATATATCGGATTTTGAAGAAAATCGAGTATAGTTCAGCACTTCAGGTGGAGCCCATTTGATGGGAAATTTAGAACCACCGGAAGATGTATATTGATCGTCCAGAACGTATCTTGCTAATCCGAAATCGGCTACTTTTACTATGTTATCTGTTCCAACCAGACAGTTCCTGGCAGCTAAGTCTCTGTGTATGTAGTTGTGCCTTTCTAAATATGCCATACCTTTGCACACCTTTAACAAAAATAAAGGTATTCTAACTTCAAAACTTTCAAATTTTGTCGAGAACGATTAGAAATACTGATAATCCGCCATTTCTTCAGTAGGACTGTATCAGCACTATGAATTGCGCAATAAATCTAGGTCCGGACCTATTTCCAGTAATCGGAAACAAAATGGCTACATACGTCCAAAATAACAATAGAGCGCATGCGTGCAGTGAAAATTTGCTGAAATTAGATGGGAAATGGCGAAATGTGAAGCGGCTCTCAAACTATTGAAGACGTTCAAAACATACACTATGAGCTATAGGCTTTTTTGATGATTGCCTACCCAAAATAACTAATGATGCACGGTTTTTTTGCAACTTACATCTAGTTTCTGTAATCGTTTTTTTGAATAACATTTCTGGAAACATTTTTGTCTGAAAAAATCTTACTTGTATGCACATATCCAGAAGAAGGCCTTGATTGCTGCTCAAAGATTGTTCATGTCTCCTTAGGTGATTCAACAGTGACCCATACCTCATGTATTCGGTGACTATAAAAATTGGTCTATTTTTGCTACAAACGCCATAAAGTTGTACCAAGTTGGTATGCTGGAGTTTTCTGAAAACAAAAAATTGCTATTTTGAAATAGTTTTATGATCTGAATAAAAGTTATATACATATTATTGTGATTCATCAGAAAATATATTTTATCAAGGATATTCATATAAACCCTTTATAATATGCATCATGTAAAGGTAGGTACTATATCATCAGTGAAAAAAAAACAAAGTTCAAAGCAAGCAAGTTTCATTTTCTTTTTTTGGAGAAACCATCAAGTAATCCTGGGTTATTCTCTCTTCAAAAACAAAATTCACATTGCCAGAGGTCCTTATCTTGGACACACTGCATAATTTATCAAATTCAATATGCCCTGATATTTTTCCAAAATCCACCAGTCGTATAGCTTTTTTTTTTAATTAAATGAATAACCTGTGTTGGTGTCAAAACTGATTCTATCACCTCAATTGTATCATATGTACAGAAGTGTTCATCATATATGAAATGGAAATTCAGAATCAACCTAACACCAAAAGTTGATACATTCAGTAATATTCAAAATTCACAATAATTATTTTTTTCACATTTCAAAATGTGACGTTTCTCTTGTTTAAACCAATAGCAATCATTAGAAATTATACTGATAATTTGTTAGTAGCAAATTACAGCTATAATTTTTTCACGTTATTCGATAGGCTGTAGAATGTTAATTTTCGCTAGCCACACACTTCAGTTTTGCGTTATTTTTATTTAAACATATTCTTGGGCATTTCGCGAAATAGTTGAAAAAATAATCCCGCCGGATTATATTCGGGATAGTATTTTTTTTTTCAATAAATATTGTCGCTAGATTATCACTCTTCTTTGTTAATATTGTTCACTTGTGGGCTCCGTTTACTCGTGAACTTTTTATAGCAACAAGATTTGTGCTTTAGTTGAAATTATCAAACAATTACGACCACTTGTGTGACTACTGTTGATAATTATCAAACATTGAATTTAGCTTTTTCAGAAGCCAAATTAGTGGTATCACCTGGCATTCGAATGTTATCAATGTGACCAGTTTATTTGTCAGCTGATAACATAAGTAACGAAAATAACTCATTAGATTAAGCTAATTATTTCTACTTTCGTAGTTAATTTCCAGAAAATTCCAATATTTTTTCAGATCTTTCAAAATCTCCGTTATTCTGCTATTATTTTTATACCTAACCTAATGTATCTTTGTTTTTATGAAATAAAACCATCATCATTACAGATTCGACAGAAAATACCAAAATAAATCAGGACCGATAATGTTCTCTGTAGATCGACATTATTCTGAAAAACTTACGTCATCACTTTGGCCTCTTCAATAAAGTCATCTTCGGACATTGTGCCTTCCTTCATCATTTTCACAGCGACGTCAATAGATCCTCTCCATTTTCCTCTTCTCACTACCCCAAATTGTCCAGAACCCAATTCCTCCAGAAGCATTAGATCATCGTGGTCTATTTCCCATTTATCTACAAAAAAATCGAAGTTTCGTATACCTGATTCTGTTCTTATAGAGATATAATAACAAAACTGATGCCATCACCCGCAACTTCGGAGTTGAAAATAATCAACTTCACAAAAATCAAAACTTCTGCGAGTGAATAATTGCAGTTCAAAGATAAGCTATAGAACGTAAATTCATTAACTGTTACGCAGAGGCTTTCTCATGAAACTCTTTGTCTTCAAAGTACCTGCCACATGAAAAAGATGCAAATTGGAAGTTACGGCATGTTGCCCCTGGACTCACATATACTCTGAAGATGCTAAACATAAAGATTATGTTACAACTGCAAAAAGTGTGAAACACCTTATACAGGGTGAGTCATGAGGAATTGTACATGCTCCTACTACGAATAGAGGAGATGTAAGTCTTGCTTTTATACGTGAAATTAAAGTGTTGCGAAGTATTTATTTTAAAATTAATTGATTTTTTTGCTAAAGTTCCGTGTTTGGTAATAGTAATTGTTCTTATAATTTGAAGAAATTCATTAAAACAGTATGGACAATTTGGAATGCTTTATTATGGTTGCTTGTTTGTCAACTTCAAAAATTTCATGTCACAGTTTACTAAAATCATATGCAGGGTGAAACTTTTGGTGATTATTACCCTCTACCCAAAAATTACTGAATCCAACCCTGGAAACAGGAGAATGTTGATTATTGTTGAGCTGAAGAATTGGAAATAATTTTATCCTTACTTTTATTCGTGAAATTCATGCATTGCGGAGTATTAATAATTTTCAAATTAATACATTTGTTGCCCAAGTTTCGCGTGTAGTATAAATTTATCATTTTCTAAGAAATTCAATGAAAATGTGAGGAAAATTTTAACTACTTCATTTTAGTTGCCTGTTCATCAACTTCAAAAATTTCATATCACAGTTTACTAAAACCTTATACAGGGTGAAATTTTTTATATGAACCAAATTGGCAGAATTTCTCAAGACCGGTCCTGGATTTTTAAGATTCTGAATACGTCAGTTGATTGCTGAGTGACAGCATTATAATCCATGAAAAAATGAAGGAATCGAAAGAACTGTTGGAAAGTTATGATTGAAAGAAGTTTTGGCCATATCCCATAAATCACCCTATAGATTATTTTAGAAGAGGCGGAGACACTTTCTGATGGTCATTTGGTATTCCCCTCAGGTGCCTCTATTCGTAGTAGGAGCATGTACAGTTCCTCATGACTCACCCTGTATAATGTTTATACGAGTGTTTATAAGAAGTTAGTTCTCCTAGGTCGCAGTGATTGAAAGGCCTTTGTAGACAAAACAATTTACCTACAAGCTTCAAATGCCAGCAGATCAAATTCACCTAGATAGTCATCAGCTTCATCTCATGTTAGTTCTCAGTTCCTCAAACTTACCATGACTGAGGCCAGCAGTGGCTGGTGCTGGTCTATCGCAGGGGCTAGTCTTCAATCGAGAAGCCAAACCACCGCTGTTGTGCTTGTGATAGTTTATCAGGTCCGGTATAGATTGGCAGCAATGCTTTTCGGAAAGGAAAAATTCCCCTCTCGAGTTTTGTTTGATATGGTAGTGTTTGACGTGGGGGTGAGGTCTGGAATGGAATACATATTTCGTGATAAAAAGTGAAGAGTTCCATGTTCAAAGCTCTACCGATGTCAGCTTATCATTGTAATGATTTTCTCTGATATTTTGATATTGAATCATTAATAGATTATAATCAGTTAGGGCCCAAAACGGAACCCTGATGAATAACTAAAGGACATATTTCGCCTTGTTTAGAAATTGGTAGCTCTAGCCAACATAACGAGTGTAATCATTATTGGCGAACTTCTTACAGAAAAATATCCCTGTCGAGTCATATTTCAATAGGCTAAGAATTTTCAGTATAGTTAATTGTTGTTGATAAATTATGTTCGGAAGTTACTCACATTTTTGTGTAGAGGGATAATGTATAAAGACCTTTGGTAGAAGAATTTCTGACGACGAAACATCCTTCTTTGTCTTCATGCTTCAAGGTGGATTCGGACCTTTGTCTGGACATATCGTTGACATACCATCTACAGTAAATACAAAAAAATGTCATCTGAAATAGTTACTGGAATTTAATCATAAGTTTACTTACTCATATTGTTGCAAACCTAGGGATTCCTTCTCCTTCACGTAGTTGCTTGGAATAAACCCCACATTCCTAAAAACAATCATTGTAATAAGTCATCAATAGATCAAACACAACAATTATATTATTTCCGGAGATCATATACTCATAATAATTATAATATTATAGCAAGTAGGTACACCTATTTTTTAAATTGTTGAATAAAATAATTGGTTGGACGCCAAATTCAGTTGAATAAAATAATAATTATTATAATTTTATTGAAATTCTAAGGTTTCATCAATCACATGTCTATGAATTTTGTTTTTAAACACCCATCAGTACTTTCAAAACTATAGACGCGTGTAAGGATATAGATATACATTTTAGAGTTAGTGTACCGAGTGTGACAGTATCATATGGTACATCCCTTTTTCTCCTTCAGTTTCAGATATGAGTGATTGAAATTCCGAACAACCCATCGACTTGATGAACGTCATATTTTGACATGAATATGTTTCAATTTCCACTTCCGCTTTCGCCGGAAGAGGTGTTAACTTTTCATTTTTGCATAGAACACCCTGTATATCATTGCATTTTTGAATTCTGCATCATTTTCTGAATCCAATGATATCACATAAGTAACACTTCAAACTTTATTATCAATTCCGATTATATTTTTTATTATTCATTTATAGGTGTGCCTTGACTATTCTGATTGAGTCTGATGTATACTCACATCGACATATGTTATGCTAAAATGAATCGTGTCAAAACTGTCGAATTTCTTGATTTATCACCAAATTGAGTTCGTCAAAATAGTTTGGTGTACCATCATCCTGTGATACCCGGTATATAGTTATATTCTATTGTTTCCTCACCCCTTAGTGTCTTTGACTTTCCACCAATGTTCTTGGGAATCGTCTATAACATCATATTCCTGATTCTTCTCGAGCGATAGATCTCCGGTTTCAATGGCTTTGTAATTATACAGGGCGACTACTTTCGTCCGCGGCATTATTTTTTCTTTCTGCTTCGATGATGGAGTGCCAGGGGTACCTTCTCCAGGCATTGTGTTATTGGAGTGGGTGCCTGCAAATCGAAAATGCCTATTGTAAAAGTTTTGATAAAAAAATCATAAATACGATAAATATTCTCTTCATACCTACCCACACATTTTGCAACTGATAACTATTTTAAATAAGTCAATTATTATTCAACAATATCCTAATGGAAATAATAAATAACGTAGCTTATTTATCTCTGAAGGTTTCGAGTCTTCTTTGGAAAACTATAATTAGGTATTGTGAAATATTCCCTGAATAGTGGAGTTGAAAAGGGACAGTTAACTTTATGTTTGAAAACAAATACAAAACCAAAACCAACTCACGTTATTAATGTTATAGATATTTCGGCAAGCGTGACTATAACTCAGTATAGCTGTGATGCTATTTGGTTTTATCAGGGATTTTTTAAACATAAGCAGGTATAGATTATTGAGTACCTATACCTTTTCGTCTAGATGCATAGAACATTTTGGTGATAAATCATTCACAAACTGTCTATTCAAAATAAAGTATAAAGCAATTAAGGTGTTTTGTGAGTAATCTCTCCACTTGCCTGTTTACCTTTTTCTAAAATCCGACTTGGTAATGGGAATCAAAGAAAAAGCATTACCTGTTATATCAGGGCCATTAAAAATCCATCAAATACAGATATTATCAAAATTTAATAGCAACAGTTTCAAGAAAGGTTGCACGTGATAATATATCTACTGAGTGTGTGGTTATACAGACCGTCAGTATTTAGGTTTTTTTTTTAATTTGAAATCACAAAAGAATTAATAGTCGAGAATGTTGAGACGCAGAACCAGAGTACCATTCAAATAGATGAATACCTATTGCAGATTTATTTTTGCAATAATAATTTTGACTTGTACCGGAGGTACTAATTATTCGTAAAAAATACGCGATATATGTTTCAATAAAGCAAGTTTATCATAGTGGAAAACTGGACAATATAACTGGACAATGTAGTTATGTCCAAGATAAGTAGGGTGTGTTTCCGTATAGACAAATCTGATTGAATGGGCCTGTCTTCTGTTTTTGAGCGAAAAAATGTATTTCATAATTTTGAAGTAGGTACCTATCTAAACTAGTTCACGATATTTCACCATGAAAAACGCTAGACAACTTATATACAATACGACTTATGTATTGTGTGTAACCCAGTGCACTCCAAATGTGGAAGTGAATGCTTATATTTCTATCCATCACAAAAGTTGCTTCACAAAGACTCGGATTCTTGTTCCGTGCAAAAATCTACCTTACACCTCAACAGCTTCTCATGATCTACAGAGCACAGATACGACTATTTTTCGACTACTGGTCTCATGTATGGAGTTCAACACCCAAACATACGCTGATCCTCTTAGGGTCCATCCAGAGAAGAGCCATTCGCCTGGTGGGTGATGCCACACTAACCAACTCTTCGACTCCATTAGAACACCGTAGAAAATTCGGCGACCTTTCACTATTCTATAGATACTTCCACGGGAAATGTCCCTCAGAAATATTTGCTAAAACTCCATCACTAGCAATACCATCAGTCAGGCGAACACAGGCCCAGTCAGTACATCCCTTCGTCGTCAACCTTGAAAAATGCCGAACAACGTTCTACTAAAACTCTTCTTTGCCAATGAAAGTATTCCCAAGAACTTTTAACCTCCAAAATTAAAAAACAAAATTCAACACCTACATCCTCTCCCTATCCTCCTTATAGGTATGCACGTTGTTTCACGAAAATTATAGGAATTTCCTTTCGTGTGCTCCAAGAGATGAAAAAAGTGAAATGTGGAAATATTTTGGATGGTTGTTGAGAAATATAGCACTACTGTTGCTCATCTGTTTTTACCTACCTATACATATATCACACGCCATCGAGAGCTAGCGTAATTGAGAGCTGTTTAATTTCATTATTGTAAAGAAAATGCGATGATTTTTAATAATAATGGGCTTATATCACAAAAAAAATGTATTTCATAATTCGATAGAACTCACCCAAACTAGCTCACCACCGCAAACTGTTTCTTGCTGTGAGCTCCCTACGTTTTATAAAAAATTATTGAAATCCCCGATTTTTCGGACCTCTGAAAACGAGGCGATGATGTGACGTCAAAACCCTAATACTGAAACAAGACTATTCCAGACAGAGATGAATGATACATGATTTCTGACAGAGTGAATTAGCGCGAGATCACAGATGAAAGAATTAATATATCAGTTGCCTTAGTCTCCGTCGCGCGTTTGGTATTTTCTTTTAACTTTGGCGAGATGAGGTTTCTACGTCATAAGAGGGTCCGTTTTCAGAAGGTACTATTATTTATGTCCAAAAATAAAACATTTCAGCTTATTTTTCGATCGAATTATGTCGTCAATCATTATTTATGTATAAAAGGATCATTTTAAACATGGTTTGAGTTAAAAGTTCTACTAAGGTGTACACGCCCATTCAACTAGGTAAAACCGCATTATCAATAATTTGCACTTGAAGAAAATCTTATAATATTAAATATTCAGAACAAAAATTCGATGTCTATAGGGTTATTCAAATGAAGACCGATGCAGGGAAATGACATTCAATTAGAATGAGAACTTTATTCACAATATTTTTGAAATAATATGCAGCACCATCCACTGTGGCGCTAGAAGTGGTTGATGCAATCCCAACATGTTTCCATTCGACTGCCTGTTGTATCCCCAGAAAGAACCATTTTATGACATGTTTATTTGTCCATACAGTGTCGTGTGTACTCACATAAGTTCTACATGAAAATTGAAATGAAAATCAATAAAAAATTGTAAATTGAAGCGAAATAAGCTTGAATTACTGTCTGCCAATTTTCTATGTATTATTATTATTCTTTAGTTCATTTTCAAAGTACGAATGATCAATTAAATGACGGTATTATAACTCTAATTACCCTCTGCTTTGAAATCACGTTTTTAGCCACAGTCGCTGATTTTTTTATAAAATAGCCAGCATGAGTCTACTGAATAACTTCGTATAAAAACCTGCCTTGACAGAATACAATTAAACGAACCCATAGACAATGTCATTCGACTCAATATGCAGAATGCAAATCCAGAGAGACCATCAAAGCCACCTGTGACCATGAAAAGATCCTTAACTTCACGAAGAAACAAACACATCCGAAGAAACCACACCACAGGAAGTTTGCCTCATGAAAAATTCATTAAATTACAAAAAGGGACCTAATTTTATGCCAGCGCAGTATTTGCCTTGTATCTTGTTCAGTGACCAAAAAATACAATTTTACTTTCATTTATTTAATCACACCGTACTTCCTGAAACGCTCTGTATACGTGTTTAATACCGCAGCACGTTTGACATTTGAAAGCAATCCACCTGTTGCCACCAGAAACCTACTGTCAGATTCACAAATTCACTTTAACTCAATATAGTGTTGACGATAATAAACAGGAGCAGATGTCGCTTTGTTCAATAATTGATCGTTTAATTTTGCCATCGCCAGCATGCTAGATTTAGGCAATCAATTCCAATTTTGCTACGGACCGACCATATGCAAGGGCAAAGGTGACGGTGTTTATGACCCATTCAAAGTAAAATCATGCAAACTCACCTGTGGCACTTCGAAAAACGTTCACGAGCATGTCAAACTGCATTTTTTTGGCAAATAGATTGACGTGTGTTAGGAAATCAACATGTTGCAGGTAAAAGAAGACGGTCGAAGACTGCTTTGTGCCAAGGTAAAACTAGCGACTTGTTCACCGTTAAATTATTATAGTTGGTAGTTGGTGGGACAGGTTTTCCGTCGGATATTAACGTCAGTGTTCGTCTAGAGTCTAGACTACAAAGAACACAAATGCAACAAGTTGACCGAAAACAAATGAACTAACATAGGCGACTGTAAAATGTATGCTGGTATTGAATTTTTTTCGTTCGGTCACTGTAATATTATGTTCTTTTAAATATATACCTTTTTAAAAAATCCCACTATACAAGATATACGAACTGTCGCCTCTAAACAATAATTACGCTTTTATTGAATATACCAAGCGATTTTTATGTCAAAGAGACGGTTTTTGATTTGAACTTTTTTCGTCTGGATTCCTTGAAAGTTTCAACTTTATTTCAGTTCAAGAATTTCTGATCTTGCCTGAGAATTTTAGTTTCCAGTATGAGAATCTATTTTCAAAGAGCTTTAAAAGAAGCAGAGCATGTTGGCACAGTTCGGTTCATGAACAACAAGGCTGAGAAAGGACTAGACATTATTTGTAATCAATCCCATTTCTAAATTTGAAAATCATAATTATTGATGATTCTAATTATATTTTTACAAAATGTCCTGAAATATGGGATCATCAGCTACTAGCTAGAGGACTTAACACTTCATAATGCACATCATTCTAAATGCATATGTTAATATCCGATGAACACATTGGCTACATTTATATGAAATGAAAGTCTGCCGAGTGCTTTGAAATAGGTAGGTAGCAAGAAGAGAAGATTATCAGAGTATTAATTGTGGAATTAAGCGATATACCTAACTAACCATATGACTAAATAGCAGGCCTACTCAGTTCTCTGTGGATTGAAAAAGTAGGTGCGTACCAATTATTGGTACTTGGGCATGTAAATGACAGAAGGTAGCTATTATTTATGTGCTTCGCGAGCGCTAAGTGATAGTTTTGTCATTAAAATCAAGATTGTGACAAAATACTTTGAGTATTACCTACACTGAACAAATAAACTTTCTTGTATTGTTCGGAAGTAAGTAATAAGTAGTTGGCTAGGTAACTATATATCTCGTTTCGATTCGAGATTTCAAAGTATTTCCAATTTTTATGTTTCCTACGAGCGTGCGCAAAGTTGTACTTTTCTGCATACATTTGCGTGCGCAAAGTTACTCTCTTCCACACGCCGTGCGGATAATATATTTTCTTCCGCACTGAATGCTGAGTAACTAACAAAAATAATATATCTACTTTTCAATCACATATGTTATGTCAAATCCTTTGTATCACTGAATGGCTTTTGAGTCGTTAATGGGATAATCTAGTTTCGTAGAATATTTGGGAAAAGGGACACTTCTGGCAATGAATTTAAATATTCCTTCATTCCTAGAATATCATTCACTGCCTGCCAGGTGACCGTGCGGACAGAGTGTCAGTTCTCTAATCCGCATTCGCTTGCCGGTCGTGGGTTCAATTCCCGCGGCTGCAGACATTTTTCTGATGGCCCAAGACAGTGTTTAAAAGGTAAGACCCCCGTCATTCGTTGCTCCCGGAGACGTCTGAGGGTTACTCGCGAGGGGGCAACCGAATAGAGGATAGAACAATTTTAAAACACTTTTTAGATTAATCAATTTCTACTCACTGACGTCCAGAGAGCTGAGACTCCTAATACTAGCCCAATCTCCACATTTCCTGCAACCCTCTGAATATCTCACGGTACTGCCACAACAAGCCCAATTTTTGCTTATCCAAGGAGCAGGATGGAACTCGCTTTTGATGGTCTTGTTGTTCAGACAAGCTGAAAAACGTAGAGCATTTTTTCCTGCACCCTTATGAAATCTATAGTTTTTAACCGATTCCTTTTTTTTTTGTTTCAGCAGAAGGACTATCCGGAGATCTACGTCTAAACAAATTTGCAAAATTAAATTTCGATCTACAGGGCATACTATGTTATTTTTTACATGTTAAAAATTGCGATGTTATTTTTTTCAAAAATCAACCGCACCACTGATTCAGCATACTTTCAATTAGGTTGAGCGCAAAATTTCATCGAAAAATTTCAATTGGCAACAAAGTTATTATAACAACATTAATTTTGATTGCTCACCATTTTTAATGAATATTTCAGACATGTTCAGAAATGTTGGAAATCATTGAAATTTCTGGTATACATTTGAATTGATAACACAAATTATTATCGAGTTATAACATATAAAATGAAATTTATCTTGGTATTCATGAACATTCATGAAATACAAAATCCATAACGTCGAAAAATCGGCTTCTCACAATAATTATCATCAACCAAGAACTTTCGTATCAAATAATAACTTCATCTTAATTTTATCATTTTCAAATTTCCTACCAGCCATCGTCCAAATAAGTTCAATAATATACATAATTGAATAATCTCGGTCCATAACTATCTAGCCCTAATCAATACATATAAAATTTTTGTTGATCTTTGCTTCCACTGAATCACCATTCAATTGAATACATTTTTCATACTATTTTTCACAGTATTTTTAAGTCCTTCGGGTGTTACTTCCCTACAAGCTTGACGTATTCTTCCACACAACTCCTGTCTGGTTCTTGGGCGGGTTTTGTAAACTTTTTGTACAAGAAAACCCCACAAGAAGAAGTCAAGAGGGGTTGAATCGGGGGAACTGGGTGGCCATCCAATTAATTCACTTCCTCAACCAATTCAGCGACGAGGAAACTGTTCATTCAGCCATTGTCTGATAATCATAGCATGATGCATTGGGCAGCCATCTAATTGAAAATGTAGATCATTCCAAAATGGTACCATTCTGGAGATTATAACTCGATAATAATTTGTGTTATCAATCCAAATGTATACCAGAAACCTCAATGATTTTCAACATTTTTGTTGACGATGTTGCCGCTTCTCAGAATTTCTCTGAAATATTCATAAAAAATGGTGAGCAATCAAAATTATTGTTGTTATAACTTTGTTGCCAATTGAAATTTTTTAATGAAATTTTGCGCTCAACCTGATTGAAGGATGCTGAATTCAGTGGTGGGGTCGTTTTTTTTTTGAAAAAAAATCGCTAATGATATTTCGCAATTTTCAATATGAAAAAAATAACATCGCATGCCCTGTAGATTGAAATTTTATTTTGCAAGTTTGTGAAAACGTAGATCTCCAGATAGTCCTTCTGCTGAAACAAAAAAAAAATAAATCGGTTAAAAACTATAGATTTTATAAGGGTGCTCCGGTTTCAAGTGGGTCACACTGTATATATCCATTTTTTATGTTCATAATCATATCTGAGAATATTCCTTTTCAATACTTTCATCCAATCAAGGGGTTCAAACTTGAACGATTTTATAGACCTCAATCGATCGCAGATTCGTGATTAGATTTTCTCAATTCAGAATTTCTTTCCACGTCCTGTATGGTGAATATCAATTTATCATAGGTACATCAAAAAAAATTACCTTCTCTAATAGCTAAGATCCAGTCGATCCTGTCTTCCTTTCTCAATGCGCAGAGGAATAATAAATAGTCCCTTCCCTTAACCTGATAACCCAAAAGGAATGGCCATACCTCTTCACTAACGCCGATTTCTTCCTTTGTGAAGAAATTCGTGGCAATTTCTACAGTGTGGACAGTTTCTAGAAGGATTCGGCCTTTTTCTTCACGCTTCTATAACAAAAAAAAGTTCAGTCCTTCTTTAATTGACTCGCGGGTGTCCAAACATTTATATATATCAATTGAACTCCAAATGTGACGGAAATGGAATATGATTCAGAAGAACCACTCAAATCTGGAATAATGAGATTAATACCTAACACTTATCCACGGTTCACTTTTATCCCAGACGATGAAATGGGTCACTTCTTTTACTTCCTGTTTGTAGGGACTTGGAAGGGACATATGGAACGTACCTACCTACTTTATGATCTTCTAGTTGTCCAACTGTCATAAGTATAACAATACCGGGTGTCCCAGATATTTTCATACAGCCAATATCTCAGCTATGCTGCTTGTAAAAAAAATTTAAAAACTACACATATCAATAAACCCAATTTATTATCAAGCCATTGTTCAAAGTCAACTTCAATTATTGAAGTTACACCTATAAATTTTTTTGTTGATTTGTAAAGTCAACGATGTATCACACTTGATAATTTATGGACAGAATACTCATTTAGAGTAAACGTAATATTATAATAGCTCATTATATGCGGGAGAATACTATTCTTTGTCCACGACTACTATTGGCTTTGATATATAAATCTATTTTTGTATAAAAACTGTTTTATCTTAACTAATTTGACATTGAGAAAACTAGGAATTGAAGATACATTTGTCCACGACTGTTGTACCTCAAGCACAACGCGATAGCCATTCTTCACACCAAGTTGATAATAGCGGTGAATAACCATTATTTACTGGTCTAATAGAGTTCCTTATAATAATGTTATAGTAGTGTGGGAGTCCCTATATGTAGCGTACGTACCCACTAAACACCACCTATCCTTCCAAGGTTTGTCTGAGCTTACGCATATTGGCCCGTTGTATACAGTGTGTCCAAGATAAGGTTGAACAGCATGGGGATCTCGAAAACGGTAAGAGATACGAAATCAGTTAAATGGGGAAAAAGTTGCGCATTCGGAGGCTCATATCAAGAGCCTTCGAAAATTTTGAAAATTATTTTTAGTTTTTGAGTTATATCGAAAAAAGTGAATTTTTGGAATTTCTATTTCATTTTTTTTCCGTTATTATTAGAGATACAGCAAAACTGAGAATTCTTTTTTATAGCAACTTTTGATGACAGTCAATGTGGTGATACCGATTTTTTCATGCGACGTTTCGTATTCGTGGAATACCATCATCAACTTTTGTTTTTTAAATACGGTCCTGATAATTTTTTCACAGATTCTAAAAGGTTTTTTCATTCTGAATTCAACCATGTATTATACAAGGTGGTTCATTTGTGTTTCGACCTATTTTTGGCTATCATCAATGTTTTTTCGAAACTCCAAAGGAAAAATGCCATCAGTTCCACTTATTTTGAAGGAAAATTAGTCAACACACTAATACCTCATCAACTGGTTTCAATCAACAACCCATTTCATTTTGCGGAAACAAAAATTCCATCCATACAAATTCAGAATATGTCAAGCGCTAAAACCAGGCGATGACGAAAGGCGCAAGACATTCTGTGAGTGGTATACCAGGAAATGTTAAAATTTTGCGGATTTCCCTCGAACTATCATCTGGACTGATGAAAGCATGGTCACTAATCATGGTAGCTTCGATAGAAAAAATACACATTATTGTTCACGAGAAAATGAACATTTATACATTACAGCGAGACACCAACACCGTTTCGGCTTTAATATGTGGGTTGCAATATTTGGTACACGAATTATTGTTCCTTCTATTTACCATGAAACACAGACTTCCGAACTTTATAGAAATTCGCTTGAGAATCATCTTGAGGAAGCTCTGGATGATTTACCGATTGCGGAAGTTCAGAACTGTTGGTTTCAACAAGATGGCGCTCCTGTACATAATTCCAGAGAAGTCCGTGCGTTTTTATCCCTTGGCCGGCGCGGTCGCCTGATTTGACACAACTGGATTTTTTCTTTGGGGATATATCGAACTTTGTACACGCAAATAACTTTGATGATGAAGAAGAACTAAGGGACAGTGTCTTCGAAGCATTCAATAGAATAACTCCAGAAATGCTTAGCAATATCTTAGAAGCAACTGTGAGAAGAGGATATCTTTGTCCAGAAAATAATGGTTATCATTTTGAACATTTGTTATGAATGTCTCTGTAGGTATTGTCAAAGTTAAGTTGTTGAAGTAATTCGTGTAAGAATTCATCAACAATTTTAAACGCTGCATTGATCGAATGATGTAGTGAAATATTTTTTATTCACTTTTCAGTATTGAATAACTAATCCATCAAGTTTGACACTAAATGATCAGAAATAATAAGTGGAACTGATGGCTTTTTTCTTTTGGAAGTTCGAAAAAACATTGATGATGGATAGAAATAGGTCGAAACACATTCGAATCACCTTGTATAGTACATTGTTGAATTCAGAATAAAAAAAACCTTTCAGAATCTGTGAAAAAATCATCAGGACCGTATTTAAGAAACAAAAGTTGATGATGGTTCCACGAATACGAAACGTCGCATAAAAAAATCGGTATAACCACGTTAAACCTCATCAAAAGTTGCAATGAAAAAGTATTTTCAGTTTTTCTGTATCTCTGATAATAACGGAGAAAAAAATTGAAATAGAAATTCCAAAAATTCACTTTTTTCGATATAACTCAAAAACTAAAAATAATTTTCAAAATTTTCGAAGGCTCTTGATATGAGCCTCCGAATGCGCAACTTTTTCCCCATTTAAGCGACTTCGTATCTCCTACCGTTTCCGAGATCCCCATGCTGTTCAACCTTATCTTGGACAGACTGTATAACCTGGATTAAGCCGTCGTTATTGATCTTACCACATACGACCCATAGTGCTTGTGAGGAGGATACCATCCAAAGCAAGTCGAAAATTGATGAGTAATTGGCTAGGGTAGCTCGGGTTTGCCCAGAAAAACTATGAAATTTAGTTCCTTTGAAAATAAATAACTCTCTTTCGACAAAATCTAGGGCAGATGTGATGAGACCCATACCATATGGAAACTTCATGAGATAGCTTCAATGATATTTTGATGATATCATATACTTTCCTATGATTTTTTAGGGGCTTCCCTATATATGTTCAAGTAACATATCCTGCGTACATCAGGGAGGTTAGGGAGAGAAAGTAGGTATTAGAGGTTTTCAACTTCGATCTTCTACCCAGACAGCACTGGATATTCCTAGAATATTCTCTAAATATGCTAAAAGGAAAGAATATATTCCGAATATCCTTCGAATATTCTTAGAATATATACGTGCCTCTGGAACATTCAAGGAATATTCAAATGTGGATATTCTAGTAATATTCCAAAATGAATATACAGGGAATATTCCAGAAGGAATATTCTGAAGTGAATATTCCTAGAATATTCCAGTTGGATAGTGCGGGGAATATTCAGGTATGAATATTCCAGGAATATTCCCAATTGAATATTCTGTTCCTGTATATTCATGGAATATTTCAATAATATTCCCATGTGTTTCAATGAAATTGTAAAGTATGAAAATTAACCAATTACAATTTTATAGATGTGAGTATTAAACATTGATTTCGAAATCTGTGGTAGAAGTCCATTGTATTTCAAAGTGAAGTGGTTATGTTACCAGGGATCAAAAACAAAAAGTCGTCTCCACAATTTTGATAGTGATCAAAGTACTCAATCAGATCATCGTACATGTTAAGAGTCCATATGGAACTGGAAGTGTTTATGGTTCCCTTCTGAACAACGCAATTCAATAAATTGTTATGTACATTATTATTCAACTCGATTACTGGCCAAGTGGTTAAGGCGTTGATCTGACAGTCTGAAAGTCCCGATATCGAGCCCATCTTGGGTCAGCTTTTTTAATTATGAATATGTATTACGGAATATTCCCGGAATATTCATTTATTTATATTCCTGTATTATTCCAGGAATATTCCGAATATTATCTGAATATATGAAGGTAATATTCCTTGTGTAATATTCCGGGAATATACAAAATTTTCCCCACCAGCACATTCAGGGAATATTACATAGTTGACATGTATATCCCTGGCATGTTCATGAATATTCGCAATATCCAAAAAGAATATTCTATGAATATTCATAGAATATCTGGTGCTGTCTGGGTATCAGGTTCCTAATTCATCTACCTAATCCAAAGGTTATATGTTTTTAGTGTAGGTATCCTGAATACATCAAGAAATTCGATTTGGCCGGTTTACCCCATAGACATATACCTAGCAAACATTAATAAATTGGCAATCACTTTTAGAGTCACTCACCCCAGTGTACTATCATTTTGGCTTAATTTTGGCATTTTTCAATGGTAAATCGCAAACTAGCCGACTCAAGACCAATATTGGCGAAGCAGTACTTCCATTAATTGCTAATTTATTGTTGGCCCAGTGCATTCCTAATGGAAATTGAGTGGTTTATTCTTACACAGAGAATTCTTAGGTCATGTATATAGATATAGAAGATATTTTTCCACCACTACAGCTGTAGAACATACCAGTATTCACTTCTTTTTTGAAGCGTAAAGTATGTTTTTACTACCAAGGTAGTCGATAATGACATAACCAGGCATTATTACCCCGAATTCACTGCTCTATAATGCGATATTCGCAGAAATGGGACTCGAATCTAGTACATATTTATCAATGACGACTTGACATAATTATGCTGTCGTAGTCATGGCTTTTATATTTCAATTAGAATTGAAGGGAAGTATTTTGATAGTGACAATAGGTCCATATTTCAGTCTCACAGAACGATAATGATTTAATATAGACCTTGGTAGTAAAGAATATCATTACCACGGGACCTTTTATCCATTGGCTGAAGGCTCGGGATATAATCTTGGTCTCTGGGTATGGGTAATAATGATATTATATTTACTACCTTGGTGTATAATAGTATATTCTTCAACGAGCGTATAATGATAGCTATTATTCCCGAGGATATGATTCCGAAACGAGCCGTAGGCGAGTTTCGGAATTATC